AGGAAGGCGAGGACGAGGAAAACGAGTTCGAGGACAAGGAGGAGATGGACGAGGAGGAGCAGGAGGACGAGGAGGACGAGGAGGACGACGAGGAGGACGAGGAGGACGAGGACGAGGACGAGGAGGACAAGCAGGACGCAGAGGATGAGGAGGACGAGGAGGAGGACGAGGAGGACGAGGAGGATGAGGAGGACGATGAGGAGGAGGAGGAGGAGGAGTACGAGGACGAGGACGAGGAGGAGGTCGAGGAGGAGGAGGAGGAGGAGGAGGAGGAGGAGGACGAGGAGGAGGAGGAGGAAGAGGACGAGGACGAGGACGTGGACGAGGATGAGGAGGACGAGGCGGACGAAGAGGATGATATGCGCCTCTTTGTTCACTACGGGCAGATCTGGCGGTCTGGTCCTCGTGGGAGCCTTTAGGGCGCTGTGACCCCTTCCGATGTTACTCCTGCCGCCTCTCTTGGCCCACTCCCAGTCGTTGGTGTTGGAATCCATAAGGTCAGAGGATTTTTAAGAAATGGTTAAAAAAATGTATGTAGGCCTTAGATTGGAGTTTTGTTAGCATTGCAGAAAAGTTTCCCTTGCAAGCAGAAAAGTTTCCCAAGCAGTAGACGTGACAAATAACAATAGGCCTCTGTAGAATTGGCTTTAGGATGGCAACAAGGTTATTTAATGTATATCTTCAGAAGATTAGTATGAATAGAATTCTGTTCTTTGTGTCTTATGAACTAGTCTTTGTTTTAGCTACCATTACGTATGTTTTATAAGATTGGATAGAATGCTTGTCAATATGTGTTTTCTGTGTGTGATTGGCTGAAAAATGTAGCCTGAGATGATTTTATGTATTGCTGTATGAGCCCTCCTGGGAGAGACATTTTGGAGGAGACATTTTTGGGGTGGATCAGTGAGCTGTCATGTCTCCTTTTTGTATTCTGAGACTGATGTTCTGAAAATAAAAGCAAAAATCTCTTCACTGGTCTGTTTACAATGTTATCCATATTTGGATATTTTGCCGCGGCCTAGTGGGTTCCTTTTTAAGACGTGGGTTCCTGACACAATTGGACTTATATCTACCCATCCCTCAACAAGCCCGTGGCCAGGCAGATCCTGTCCCTCCCTCCTTGCTCAGGGCTCTTGCCGGGATGGGCACTGGCATGTGGGGATGTGCAATGGCAAGGGCAGGAGCATGGGGCGGCCCCTGCCAGGCTGCTGAGCAGGGACAAGGAGGCAATGAGGCCCCAGGTCTGCAAGGTCTCACTTGTCTCCTGCTCCTGCCTCAGGCCCAGGGCCAGCAGCCATGGCCAAAGTGCTGCCCAAGTTGGCTCTGGCAGGGCTGTCTTGCAGCTGCTGCCCATCCCTGTGCCCTGTGCAGCCCAGGCTGTCCCACGGTGTCCCTGCCCTGCGCCTCTGTCCCTGCAGGCTGTCGGCATCCCCTGGCTGCCCCACCTGGCTGGCCCCTTCTTTGCTGACAGCTCTGCCTCCTGTCTGCCTCTGCCTGCCCACACAAACCCTTAGCCTTGATACCAAACACTTAATTCAATTCAATACCACAAGCTTAATTCAGAAAAGCAATTCAATTTTTACTGTGCCTATGAACTTTAGGCACAGGAATAAGGCATGCAGGGGCTGTCTTCCCAGCACAGATTGTTGGGAGGCAAGAAGAAGGCTTTTGGCTTAAGAATGCAGTGATAGAAAAAAGAAGGACTGAAACTGGGAACTTGGGGTGGATTTTATGGTAATGGATAAATTGTAATACACATTTAATGACACTGATAGAATTACATGTCCACATAAGGTTAGGAGTTATCCCTCTCTAGACCTCAGGCCTGAATAAATGATACCCACTGAAATAGTAAATTTGTGTTAAGGAGTCTTATTCTGATATTTTGGAGATTTGGTGATGGCGGGGCCTCACAGAACCAAGGAGTCAGCTGTGACACTGAGCAAACTTATGGAACAAAGGGTCCATGGTGACACAGCAGAACCCCATGGAACCAAAATCCATTTTGGCACATTGGGACGACATTGAATCAATGGCCCATTGTGATACTGTGGATCCAAGGAGACTATTGTGACCCTGAGAAACCTCTTGGAACCAAGGGGCCATTGTGACACAGCAAGGCCTGGTGGAACCATGAGTCCAGATTGACACTATGGAACCTCACGGAACCAAGGTGACCGTGTTCAATGGTGGAACCTCATGGAACAAAGAGACCATGGTTACACTGCAGAACCAAGGAGACTGCTGTGGGCAGTATGAACATTCATGGAACCAGAAATCCATTGTGACACAGCAAGGCCTCGTGGAACCAAGGGTCTGTTGTTAAACTGTGTGGCCTCATGGAACCATGAGCCATTGTGACACAGCGTGGCCACATGGAATCAAGGGGACTGCAGTGAAAACTGTGGGCCTCCATGAGATGAAGGGTCCATGGAACCAAGGATACCATTGTGACACTCTGGGGCATCATGGAAGCAAAGGTCCATTGTGACACAGCAGGGCCTCATGGAACCATGGAGGCCATTTTTACACTTTGAGGCCTTGTGAAACCAAAGGGCCACTGTGGCACTTGAGAGCCTTGTGGAGCCAAGGGGACCACAGTGACACTGTGGGGCTCAGTGAAACCAATGGTCTGTTGTGACACTGCAAGGCCTTGTGGAATCATGGAGACCAATGTGACACCAAAGACCTCACTGAACCAAGGGGCCATTGTGACCCTACAAGGCCTCATGGAAGCGAGGAACCATTGTGACACTATGGAGTCTTGGAAGGCCAAGGGGCAGTTGTAACATTTTGTGGCACCATCGAACCAAGGAGACTGCTGTTGGCAGTACAAAAGCTCATGGAACCAAAAGTCCATTGTGACATTGTGGGGCCGCATAGACCCATGGAGACCATTATGACACTTGGGGACCCACTGGAACCAAGGGGTCATTGTGACACTGCAGGGCCTTGTATAACCAAGGCAACCACTCTGACACTGCAAGGTCTCATGGGAGCAAGTGGCAGTTGTGACACTGGGAAGCTTCATGGAACCAATGAGACCATTCTGGCACTCTGAGTCTCCATGGAACCAAGGGGCCATTGTGACATCACAGGGCCTCATAGAACCAAGGCAAAAACTGTGAGACTGCAGGGACACATGGAACCAAGGGATCAGTGTAACACATCCAGACCTGGTGGAACCAAGGAACCATTGTGACCCTGAGGAACCCAGTAGAACCAAGGGGCCATTTTGAGACTCTGTGACCTCATGGAACCAATGGGCCATTGTGGCATTGCGCAGCCCCATGGAAACAAGGGAACCATTTTGACACTGCAAGGCCTCATGGAAGCAAGGAGCCATTGTGCCACTGTGGAACCAAGGAGACCATTGTGACATCACTGGGCCTCATGGAAACAAAGATCTGTTGTGATCCTACAGGGCCTCATGGAACCAACCAACCTCATGGAACCAACCACCAACGTGCCATTGTGATGCTGCAGGGCCCCAAGGATCCAAGAACATTGAACAGGTCTGGCTAGCTGGGCCTCCTGGGGGCTGCCTGACTGGTCCTGCTGACCTTGGCATGTTAAGGGTTGCTTCTAATCAGCCCCTGAAACCCTGGAGTTCTGTGCTTTCCTTCCTGTGGGAAAGAACTGTCCTTCTCCTCCAGGAGTTCATGGCCAAAACTGGGATTCCTCCTCCAAATCTGATTATATCCAAGGATTATTCCCGCATGTTACCTGCCAGTACAGACAGCTCTGGCTGGCCTTGGCCTCTTGGGGGCCACCTCTCATCTGCCTTCAAAACACTGGGGGCTGTGCTTTTCTTCCCATGGAAAAAAAAACATCTTTCAAGTCCAGGCCTCCATGGCCAAAATTGGGAATGCACCTCCAAAATTCCTTATATCCAAAGATAGCTCCCAGACAAAAGCTGCTAGGACTGTTTATGTTCCCTTGATTTCCTGAGGGCCAGCTCTCATCTGCCTTTGAAATGCTGGGGCTCTGTACTTCCCTTCCTATAGAAAAGAACTGTCCTTCTTGTCCTGATGCCCATAGACAAAAGTGGGGTTTGGCCTCCCAAATTCTGTCTGTCCAAGGATTCTTCCCTGACAACAGGTCTGGCTGCTTTGGCCTCCTTGGGGCTGTCTCTAATCAGCCTTTGAAACACTGGGGCTGCACACTTTCCTTCTAATGGAGAACTGTCATTCAAGTCCAGGAACCCATGGCTGAAATGGAATTCCACCCCCAAAACTCCCCATATATCCAAGGGTTGCTTTCAGACAAAAGCTGCAAGGACAGACAGGTCTGGCTTGCCTTGGCCTCTGGTGGCTGCTTCTAATCTGCCTTCAAACCCTGCGGCTCTGTGGTTTCCCTCCTATAGAAAAGAAGGACAGACAGGTCTGGCTTGCCTTGGCCTCTGGTGGCTGCTTCTAATCTGCCTTCAAACCCTGCGGCTCTGTGGTTTCCCTCCTATAGAAAAGAACTGTCCCTCCTGTCCAGGCGCTCTTGGCCTCAAGCACTTGACCACTCTATAGGGATGTTGGGAAGGATGAAAGTTTGACAAGAAAGTCTCACAGATATTTGCACTTGGCAGAAAGAACTTTGAATGTAGAATCTGAAGAAGGAATAGAAATTAAAGCAAGTTTTGATATAGAAGAAAAGAATTGATGAGCCAATCTTTTTGGATAGCTAAGAAGGCAAAGTGTGTGTTAGTTAGAAGGGGTTTTTATGACTTAGTGCAAAGGATAAGCCCACCTCAAACAAGAAGATGTTTTTACCAAGCAGAAAGATAGCACAGGCAAACAAGTCAGCAAATGTTGCAAGTAGAAAAAAGATCTCAGAATTTTCCACTGCAAGAAAACTGGAAAACAACTTCTAGCTTAAACTGTAATGTACTAACTTTTAGGGATTGGAGAATAGTAACATGAATATGGTAATTACATAAGTTATGATAGGCTATAGGTAAAAGTTATGGTATAGATTTGTTCTTCTGTATTAGGATGCTCAGCAAGGAA